AGTGGTGTACTCTTCCGTTATCTTTTTGTATAACTTCATATCCTTGCATCAACTACATCCAATTATACTGATGGAAGTCTCCATGCTCTTTTTGAATATGATGTTCTCGAGAAGATTCAATTCTTACAAAACATCACCTTTTATTGCTCAGTGGGATGTGAACGTGCTGTTAAAAACAGAAGCATTGACTTGAGCCCTGTTCATAAACATCTTATTAGCTAATTTTACCCACCCATCAAGCTTTCTTTGTTCCCCTTCCATTCCAGATCTTAAATGTCCTGCTACTATCTTGAGATATAGGGTTCATAATTGTCAGCTTACTGCAAGCTGTTGCATCCTTAATATGGCAAATCAGGGGCATGAACACACCAATACATTTACATTTTAAGTCACTTAGACTCATTCCTGTGAAATTAAACTGGCAATAGGCCAAACACTGCCTGTCAATGCTAACAAAGATTTCCAACAAAAATAGTTCAAAGTGAGCCAGTGTTTGAGTGTATGTATTTTGGGTCAAACAGGATACTGCAGGTGGTACATTGTGTAATGATGAGTTAGATTTTAGATATAGTAAGTGAGAAAAGATATTACATATAGAAAGAAAAATGCAGGCACAGTGATATTTTTTGTACTTATTTATTAGCTAATTGTATAACAGGATGATTCGTTATTCATTTTTCTTAACATCCTGCATTGGTGTAATTATGATGATATCTTAAATCTGAAATTTAAAAAGCCATAAAAGCTATTAAAGGCAGCTGAAACCTTGAAACCTGTCAAGACCTATAAGGCATATTAATAGCATAGCTTTTGGGATGTCAAAATAGCTAAAGCAGATCTTTGATATTTGTGGGCAAGGGTGTTCAGACACAGAATAAATGCTCTTAACAGAGGAAGTACAATGATGTGGTTTCTGTTTTCAACTAACACAGCAAGAATAATCATTAAGTCATAAGGGTTAATTGAGGGCAGACTGCAGAACACAGACTAGGAAGATAACATTTCTGAATATGATCTATCCTCCCATATAACTTAGGTTAATGTAGCTGGTCAACTGGAGAACAAGTATTATGATTTGGATAAAATAACTTGCTTTAAAACCTGTGTGTTAGAACTAAGAGCTGAACTTCTGTACTCATTGTAATGAGAATATGGGGGCAGATCCTTATAACAAGTCAGTGTACCCTTCTTTTCATTCCTTCCCAGCATCCTTCCTCTGAATTCAGTGTGTTGCTATGGCACATTGAGTTTCAAAAGGTTCACCCCTGCAAGGCAAAGGGAACCAACATACTCTAGACATTGGTAGACTACAACTCCTATCAGCCCTACCGGGGGGGGGGGGGGTACTGATGGGAATACTCATAGTTGTAGTTCAAAATCATCTGGGAGGCTACATGTTCCCGATCTTTGCTCTAAGAAGACATAAAATAGACATTAGACATATCGGGCCAACTGTAAATAAGATCTCATCTATCTCATTAACAACTGCTGGGACTGGGTTGGTACTGGGCAAATTGAGACTGTACTGATTAGGAATATTTTTCCTATTACATTTGTCTTCTGAGCTAAAGTTCTTCCCAAAGCTACAACCTCACAGGAATGTGCATCTTCTTCACAAGCACTTTATATACATGAATACAGATCCTAATGGTAGCTGTCTTTCATCATTTTGATTTGGTCCTGAGAAGAGACTTTCTCATCATAGGGCAATCTCTTCTATAGCCGTGTCCAGATCACCATGTCATTTAATGTGACCCTCCAGATGCTAGACTACAATTCCTGGATTCCTCATCATTAGACATCATGACTAGAGCTGATGGGAGCTGTAGTACAGTAACCTCTGGAAAGCTGTTCTGTTTAAATCAGGATAGTGGTGTTTGAATTTAGATACAAGACTTGTGTATATGATGTCTAACTTTAAAGTTTCCTTAACCTTTCTCCAGCCTCAGAGCCACAAGTGCTATTAGGTTGCAATTCCTACTATCGCCAGTGTGTATGGCTGATAATCAAAAGTGTTGGGAGTTGTTTTTCAATAACATCTGGGGACTCAAATTGGGAAAAAACTAAAGAGCACCGATGACTATGTCGTTTATTCTCTGTAGCTTTCTTGGTCAATCTTCTCATAACTGTCTGTGGCAAAAGTAAGAAAATGTAGCAAAAAGAGGGTGATGTATTACCCTTGTTACGCTGATCTATTGGAAGGGATGGGGAGTGGCTGCCCTAGAGTTCATCCTTTGCAGCACGCCAAGTTGAATGGTCCAAAATATATGTACCTCCTCCCTCACACATCTCCTCCATGCCCACCCAGCAGTAAGCTTTCAAGAGGACAAAAGTATGTCAGCTAGCATGATTTGGTTAGATACACCAGGTCCAGCCCCCATTTTCCTTCCAAGACTCTTGGACCCTAAAGCAGAGGGATTAGCATATGTTTGAAGATCCAGTATTGGAGCACTTTGGATTGGAAGGGTAACTTACATAACATTTTATGTCTGGATTGGTGGGAAGATCTTAAATAGGATGATAGTATTAATTCTAAACAAGGCTTTTGCTTCAGATGCTGAGCACTATCTGGCACACCCAAACCTTGGAAAATTTGTCTTTTTTGGATTACAGCTTCAGGAATCTCCCAGCAAACATGGTCATCAGGCTTGTTGGCTACAACAACTGAACTACAATTCATAGAGTTGTAGTTCAAAAATTAATGTCCCCAAGCTCTTGGCATACTTTGTTTTGATCCAAATGGGTACAGACAGATGCCAAAGTCAAGCATAACAGCAAACTGTCTACTATCACCATTTTTGGAAATAAAAAATAAAATAAAAATGAATGTGAAACACTATAGTTTATAAAATATCTGTTTCTGGTTATGATGCCTTTAAAACATTCTAAAAGTATTATCAGGATCATGCATTCAGCTCAGAGATGTGCTTCCTCATCCGTTTCAGCATGCTTTTGAACAAACCCATTAGATAAGCAGCTTGGAAGTAGTAAACATAGCAAAAGCATTGACAGGTTGTTATTTTGTGAAATACATGATTTTAGAAAAGCATTCCAAGGTGTCCTCTGTTTCAGCTGAAAAGAGCCAAATAGTTACTGCTATAGTTCTAAATATTCCATTTGCACACTAGCTCTATAGATGAGACAAATATATTTGAATGTGGGTTGTCCTTTTTTCTATAGATAATTCAGATATCAAATTCAATCTATCAGAAATCTGGAATTTGTTATTACAAGTAACTTCCAAAGAAAACTGAAAACAATGTTGTGATTTTACTACTTATCTCTTAGACCTCTAGATTTATGGTATTTTGCTGTTACCCAAATTCACCAAGACTGGATTGTTTTACATCAATAGTAATTGTGATATGATCTCATATATATATATATATATATATATATATATATATATATATATATATATCACAGCCCAACAGCAACAAAACTCTTGGTGCCTTGGTTTTTAGGCCAGTACCTGAGGTTATCTGGGACACTGATTTAGAAAACTGCATTGGATAGACTGCATCAATTATAGTTTTTAGATATGATTTTGTATGGACAAGCAGATGATGACTGGTATATGACATATGTTCTGCATCTCAAAAACTAGAGCTGATAGGGGGAAACTGGTGCCATTTTTTGGAATCAGGAGTTCAAATATACCTAGAAACAGGTCTAACATTAGAGGCACCAAAATGTGTGTTAGCCAGTGGTATATATCTGCTATCTATTTTTTAAAATATACATGCATATTACAATGGTCTAATGTCCTTCCAGCCTCGGAAAGAGAGAGAGAGAGAGACTGAGCAATTCATTCATTCAAAAATATTGTAGAAGTTTTAGATTTCACTTTTCTTGGATACAGATATTCCAAGAAAATAAAATGGAACTTAAATAAGTTTCTTCCTATGACCATTTTCTTTAGCTTTTAATTTAATTTGAAACTTTCTGAAATATCATAGTTAATTTCATTTAAAGCCCAATCCTACAGAGATTTACTTACAGGGAAATTCTAATATGTTGAGTTGATAAAGTGCATCTAGAAAAAGTGATAAGAAATTCAACATTAACTAGGAATGTAAACATTGTTTTTACAGGGGTCTCTTCCCCCCCCCCCCAATTGTCAGTGAGAAATGGTGGATTAACACATCAAGATAAGAGATTAAAAATTGTGAGTCATTTTGAATTTTTCACATTTCAGGAATATTTTTGAAAGCACCAACAGGCAAAAAATTGCTCAGAAAGAAACCTCTTAAGTAGTATGAACAACAGCCTCTCCCAATTTTTTTTGGAAAAGTTGCACAAAAATTTTTTTTGATGTAAGGGCTTTTTTGCACTGAAAAGTTCAAACATGTGAAAAATAATTGAAAGGTGTTCCAAAACTCTTGTAATTTTGCTACATAGAAATTCTAGACATTGTTCATTATTGCGGGCAAGAATGAAATCGTAAATTATATAACCTTAACTACATGAACTGTTGCAAGAGTTTCGAGCTTTAAAGAAAACCTAATGAAAAAATGGCACTTTTGACAATAGAATCCTTATAGATTCTGTTACAGTGGTGGCTTTTAACAATGACCTATTGCTGCTTTCCCGTTTAATATTATGATAGACCCAAACAGCCGATTTTTAGATCCCCTGCATTCTAAATACATTCATACTTACATAATCCATGGATATTATTAGTCATTCTCATCACTTGTTTGAGTCTTCTCAAAAATTTGTCGGAGACATTTAGTCCTTGACACCTTGTCTAGTTATAGCTTTGCACTAAAAACATGTTGTACTGGTAAACCTTCCTCCTTTGAACCATATGGCTAAAATCTTTACTCTTTAGATTAGAATTTAATATACTTTAGTTGTGTAAAAAGAGGTGTTGATAATATTTCCAGAATATGGTTTGTGAGGAAAAGAAATGTATACCACTCCCCTATCCCCTTGATTAACAGTTACTACTACCATGATTTTTGCAGATGTAACTATTAGTCTCTGATTAATTTCAGAACTCATTCAGAAAATGATAGTACCACTCTCCCACCTTCTGACTTCTGCACCAGTCCGACAAAAATGGATTTGGCATACAGTAAGACTGCCAAACAGTGCCTAGAAGAACTATCTGGTGAGTAATATGCATATATTGTATTGTAGTTCTGTATTCACATTCTGCAGAACCAACTTGGATATTGCATAAGAAAGCAGTGTAGAAGTATATTGAGTTATTTAAAAAGCTACAAATATTTATGTATATCTCTCTGAATTAATCTAGGGTTTTCACAGTCCTGTTGACCACTGTGTTCTATTTTGGATTTGCAAAATGTAGGTCACAAAGACAGATTGATTTAAACCATGGTAAATAAAATCATGACCTAAATCAAGTGAAAGAGAGAAACCAATTTAAGCAAAGGATTTATGGCTGGTTTCACATTAAAGTCCATTAACACTAACTTTGCCTAGTTGGGGAAAGTAGGGTAAGTGGGGTTAAAAACAGATATTCCACAGAGCACATAGACCTATCCTGTTACTTTCGAAATGGCTTGTAATTCTTCTCTGTAATATTTATTCGGAAATTAATCCATTACGGGGAAGGAAATAGAAGTGTCCTATAGAATTGCTTTGTTTATTCTTTTACGTGCTGGGGATCAACAACAAATTGAACAGTGTCTCTTGAAATTATTTTTCTTAATGGTCCAATGTAATTTTTTGTTCCAGGATGATCCTAATTATTGGTGTCTATATTGATTTATTTATTTACCACATTTGTACCTGCTCTTCTCACCCCAAAGGGGACTCAGAGAGGCCTTACAAAGGCAATGATTTGATGCCAAAAGATACATAAAAATAAAATAAGCAAATGCATTAAAATCAAACAGTTAAAAACATCATTAAAATACATCTTCAAAATCATACTGTCCATTTGGATCTATATTGCCTTGTCTTGGATCAGACTCGCAGTGGTTCTCAACCTGGGGTCCCCAGATGTTTTTGGCCTTCAACTCCCAGAAATCCTAACAGCTGGTTAACTGGCTGGGATTTCTGGGAGTTGTAGGCCAAAAACATCTGGAGACCCCAGGTTGAGAACCACTGGATCAGAGTGTGGAATGCTCGAAGTACCTTGAAGCTAGTATTTCCAGAAAGTTGATGCGGTGTTGTCTTTCTGATTGCCACCAGAGGCCCTGTATCTGGAGTCCCCTGCAGTGGGCTCCCCATCCATATGTCAACGAGCCTGTGGTGATTGCCTCCAATGGTTGTGGGGGTGGGATGGGACGCCCGGCAGATGTGACTTTGTCTCATCTACCATAGCAGTCTTTGGAGGAGGGGCCTCGGTATCAACTGGGATCATGTCTGGTGATCTGTCAATGGGTTGAATGCATCCAAGAACTATATCTGTAGGGGGTCATATTTGAAGATGTGCATTCGAGGTGACAATGACTGTTGAAAGCATATGACCCAGGATGGACTGGATATTCTTTGTTCACCCCTTGCAAGGAAGTGACGGTGTACTGGGCTTATGAAAATGTGGAAGTATGCATCCTTTAAATCCATGGTGGCAAATCAGTTACAAGTTACAAATGACTCATAATTAAGAACAGGGGTGAGGCAACAGAAAGTGAAAAAAAATCTATCCCATAGAAGGAAATTCATTTCTGAAGGAGTTATCATGGGAAGAAGGTATCTTCACTGAAGCGTTATCACCACAAGCCCAATTTTTCTAAATCCAATTATCACAGGGACAGAAAGTGAGGTGAAATTTTCAGAACAGGGGCACAGACGGCAAAACAAATATCACGGGGTGTTAATCCTTCCCTATGCTATTCAAAGCTTATAGATATATGGCTGGAGTTGCACTTTGAAAATGTACATGTTCCAACCTACATACCAATCCAACTTAAGAACAAACCTGCAGAACCCATCTTGTTTGTAACTTGGGGACTGTCTGTAGTGTACAAACCTTTTCTACTCTCAAAAAAGTCTTTACCCAATTCTAAGGCAGTCCTGCTTTAATTCCCAGTTCCCACACACCATAGCCACTCCATTCAGCAAACATTTTCTGACCTTTGGGAAGAGAAGGCAGGTTATAAATAAAGTGTTATTACTATTATTAAGCATTTTGAGGGATTACTATAGAAAAATAAATGAGGATGAGGTAAGTGAATTCATTACCACCATCCTCATTGTAGTCATGTAACACTGGGCTCAGTCATATCTCTTGGACATTCACTGACTTCATATGAAAAGACTTGTTGAGAACTTTTTCTTCCATGATGTGGACTTTGTTTCAGATTCTGAAACAGAGATATATTTGCTTGTAGATTGTGTACCAATACATTTTCAGACACAAGGACTAAATAAGGGTTTTTTATTACTTAGGCAGCAAATGATAATGCTGTTTTGTTTTAGGACCAGGGAATGATTCTAACAATAAAATACAATATGTCGCCTATTGTTCGATATGTATAATGCTTCAGCTCAAGATTTCTACTTTTTCTACAGGAAAGTAAGCTGAATTTTGTTTTTATTTTAGATGGTTTAAACTAGGCCATTTAAAATAGATACTTTCTAGAACAAAAATGCTACAAAAGGCACGGGGGGGGGGGGGAGATCCCAGAATGATGAACTAGTTAGAATGAGAAAAATATGTTTTCATTTGATATGTGGTGAACATTTTTGGTGTTTTTAGTTTAGAGAAGCGATTATTAGGGAAGGCCAGGATAGATTTTTATCTTATGAAGTCGGCAGCAGGATAAAGTAGGTAGAGAAAAAAATCCTTCCTCTCATAAAACTATTTCTCTATTTCCCCATTTATTAGCTTATCTTGTTACAAATATCAGCTAGATCTTAGTCCTCAGGGTTTTTGGATGTCAGAGACATGGTTATATGTTTAATAATAGACAACCATGGTCTGTTGCTGCAGTTGCCTAACCCTGTTTCCTAAACAAATATTCCTGTTCTTTGTCCCAATATTTGATCCTTTGAATATGATACATATCCTCCAGCCTTTTCCATAAGTGAGTTTGTTGCTGTGGATGCTCAGAGTATCCAGTATTAACAACTGCTTCCAAAGGTCCTTTGCTAGGATCTTACAGATAGCATATGCTCTTGTTGGGGTTAGCAAAAATGATCAAGAAGATAGACGACAGATGGGTAAGCAAATAGCCAGTCTTTTTGCTCTAATGGATTTTACATGCCTGCTCCAAAATGACACAGAAGGTAGAAATAGGCATCAGTGTGTGATCAAAGACCTTTTTAGTTCATTTTTGGAATGTCAATAGCACTAGATTGAGCAGCCTACAAATATCTTAGTGACAGTTTAGTTAGCTGCTCGTGGTAAATTCAAAATACTAGGATTGAGAGGACAGACATATGTCATTCATAGCTGCCTTACAACATTGTGAGCAATGTGTGAAGCAAGGCTAAAATGAACCACAATTTTTTGAACAGGAACAATTATTAGCTGGAAAAGGAATTGAAGAGCAGATTGAGAACATTTGTGTATTGGCTCTGCAGTGCATTTTTTTCAGAATGGTTCAGTTACAGAACAGGTGTTTTCATATATTAAGGGCCTCTCATCATCCTAGGAATATTATCAGTTAAGAAATACCTGTTGGCATAAAAACAGGATTGTTTTGTGAATCTTGCTATTACCTTTGCCAGTATGTTGGGGCTATCACCTTTACCTTGGTATCTGCAGTTCCTTTGTTCTTCGAAGGAATTGGTGTGAAAAGCCATTGTTAACTATTTGGCATCTTATACAGTTGCTTCTGAAAACATCTTGGGAGATGTCATTGATTGCTGAGGTCAGTCATTCTATAGTTAAACAATACTACTTCCCTTGAGTGGCTGCCAAAAAGCAGTTTCTTACATCAATTCTCCATGTGCTGGGTGTAACATTTGAAAGGCTCTTATCCCATACATACTCCAGAATCTTGTATTTCTGGTGGTGGGTGAGCTAGCATGTAAGTGTGGCAGATGTATTACACTTTCAGATAAAGGCCATTTAAAGGTTGCTCATGACAGACATACCGCTTGCTTTCATGTTCCTGATAATGAGTAGCATTGTTTGAAGAGGCTGTAATGTCTACATTTTCCTCATTTGGTTTATAAAACTGCAATAATACTGTGCTTCTTGCTTCTACTTTTGTGGTCTTCAGTTTCATTGTTATGGCACTAATAGAAATCATGCACTAGGTGACCTGATCTCAGCCAGTTCTTGAAATCCTTGTATTTCAGCATATGCCAAATGCTAGTGATGTACCATTTAGGAAACAATCATGTCTTGAATACACTGTTCTCACATGATTTCAGAAGCTGAGCAGGGATGGTGCATGGCTAGTGCTTGAATGGGAGATCTCTAGGGAATATCAGGGATCCTCCAGGTAAGGAAAAAAATCCTTCCTAAGACACCTTCAAATATTGCCAGTCCAAGATCATATTAGTCTACTGGGCTAGATGTATCTATAGTCTGATTTGGTAGGAGGCAGCTTCCTATGTTTCTTCCTATGCATATGGCAAGGAGAAGTGGAAGGAAAAAGGTGTTTTTGGAGTATTGGAAACCTGCAACAAGAAAAAAGCTTTGGTAAAAATTTCAGATTTGCTGATGAACCTGACCTCCAATGAGAAGCCACTGTTTGCATTATCACACTGAGAAGGGCTTTTTAATTTTAATTTTAATGTCTTCTTTCTCTCACCTCCCCCCCCCCCCACACACACACACCCCAGATACTTATTATTTTCTTGTGGTTGCAGTTTTCCTGGTTTGAAAAAAATAGGCCTTTAGAATCACCTTATAAGGTTACTATTTTTTGACTAAAGACACACCCACAGACAAGCAAAACTTATGGCACAAGAGGAGAGGCATTTGAAGGCCCTTATGAATGAACCAGTCTTGGTTGCTGTCCCAAACATGTGATGGGGCAGAGCAGCAAACTATCAGGCTGTCAGTCAGTCTGCTTCATATATTTCTAAGGTTACTATTTTTGGACAAAATATATTGCTTTGCTTAGGTCTGATCACAGCAATTTAATGGCCTGGGAAAGTTGGGAATTAGCTGAACATCATCTCACTATGTCAGTTCAGCATATGACAATGGTGTCATCCTCTATAACATCCTTGAGAGGTCTG